CCCCTTGGACGCCGAAGGTGCACTTCTTCGGGTTTAGCCGAAGGTTGAATTTTTGAATGATGGCGAAGATTTCCCGGAGGTCGTCGGCATGGCTGGAAGATTGTTTGCTCTTGACGATCATGTCGTCAACATAGGCCTCCATGGTGCGCCCTAGGACGGCTTGAAAGACCCGGGCCACCATCCGGGTGTAGGTGGCCCCCGAGTTCTTTAGGCCGAAGGCCATTACCAGGTAGCAGAAGATGCCCTCGGGAGTCATGAAGGCAGTTTTTTCGGCGTCTTCCTCGTGCATGAAAATTTGGTGATACCCTCGGAAGGCATCGAGGAAGGACATGATCTCACACCCTGCGGTCTCATCCACCAGTTGATCAATATTTGGTAGAGGGAATGGATCCATAGGGCACCCTTGTTGAGATCGGTGTAGTCCACGCACATGCGGAAGGTAGGGGGCTTCTATGCGAGGACTACGTTGGCCAGCCATGAGGGGTATTTCACCTCCTTGATGTGCTTAATAGAGAGGAGCATGGAGACCTCCTTCTTCACAAATTCCCTTCTCTCGGCCGAGAGGGGTCTTCTTCGTTGCTGTACTGCTTTTGCCGAGGGGTCCACCGAGAGGCGGTGGGTGATGACCCTTCGGCTGATTCCCGGCATGTCCTCCGGCCCCCATGCAAAGACAGTGGAGTAGGCGCGGAGGGCGTCGGTGATACCGGTCTTCAGATCTTCAGGGAGCTGGGCTCCAATCTTCACGACTCTCTCCGGCTGGGCCGGATCGAGCGCAAAGTCTTCCACGTCCTCGGCTGGTTCAGCCCAACCTGGGGTTGAGCCGGAGCCAGGGTGCCGAAGGCACCTGGGTTCTGGGTGAGCGTTTGGATGAAGGCGGAGAGCGCCGATTGCACGTCGATGGTGAGAACCGGAGGGCTGACTTGGTCATCGCTCCGGTTTTTCTTCTTGGCCTCGATGCCGAGGCGGGCATCGGGGGAATTCTGTTGGATCTGAAGGCGTAGGTCGACAGCCATCTGTTCCAGCCCAGCGATGACACCGCCCTCGGGAGCCCTGTGAGAGGCTTCGGGGGCGTTGACGTCGTCGAGGGCCAGGTTCTTGTCTTCTACGTTTTTGGAGTTGGCACGTGTTGTTCTCACCATTTTGGTAGAGGGCTAGTGTTTGGCGAAGGGGGAGGGTTTCTTACTCGATTGTTCGACCTCTCAACGAGAGCACCAAATGATGGAAGGTGTACCCGAGGGGTAGCCTATCCGAGGGGTTATTGCTGAGAATAACTTAGAGAGAAGTCAGAGCACAAGTTAGTAAGAGAGAGAGTGTATTCAGTATCAATGTCGTGGTCTACAATGGGGAAAAGGGGGTGCTATTTATAGTAGCAATAAATGCCGGACAGGGACACGTGTCAAGCGGCCATTGGCCGAGAGGTCACCTCAACTGGTTGGCGTTGGCAGCCGCATGTGGCCGCATTTAATGCGGCTGTTGGATGAGACGTCTGTACAGGGTACGGTGATCTGTACGCATGCGGCGCGGATATTATGTCGGGAGAGGTGCCTTCGGCTATAGAGCAGGAGCCGAGGGCTCCTCAAACCGAGGGCACCCTGGTGCCGAGGGCTCCTGATGCCGAGGGCTACTGTTTTCGCCGTTTTCTCCCAGTTTCTTAGTTTGCTTGAGAAACCCGTTCTGTGAGAGTCTCAGCCTTCGGCCAGGGGGCCGAAGGCACCCCTGGCGCGTAGTGCGGGCTGCTTGGTACTCTGGGCGCTGTGATTTGGGCCTGTTGGGCCTTCTGGGCCTGTTGGGCATTTACTGGAGTAGTAGGAGTCTGTGGGCCGGGGGTTCCCGGGCCATATACTCCATCACCATGTATATGTGACCTCCGTGGAAACGTAGTTGGGCCGAGCCCTTGCCACGAAGTTATGGTTGGTATGGAAACGTAGTTGGGCCGAGCCCTTGCCATACAAATTTTGATATGATATATTGAGCTAGAGGATTGTATAGAGATGTAGTTGGGCCGAGCCCATGCTATACAATTGGGGCTCGATGGGACCCCACGGGGTTATCGTGACTTGCGGTCACGGGGGAATGGAAACGATGAATTCTAAATGAATATGGGCCTACGGGCCGACTACTTGACTTTATATAAAGTAAGTACAGTTAAAAGCAAAAGGGGTAACCGAGGGTTATGGCCTATAATATAATAGTACCCTAAGTCGAGGGTCTTGGAAATTAAAACGTTGATTATACTTAGTATAGTTGCTATTGTACTTGTCAAATATTTCCAAGTACTGACCTCCCCTTCACGGGGGAGGCCACCTCACAGTTTCAGGTAGAACTTGAAGGTTGCTACCATCGCCTGTGGCTTCGGGAGTATCAAGGGGAGAAGACGTGGTTCGTGCTTCTTCCGTTCTGTTTTGAAAACAACTACGTTAATGCTCATGGATATTATTTTTGAATAATTATTTGGGGGCTTGTATGCCCATGTTTGCCAAAGTGTGGCTAAGACATTTTTATTAAATGCTTCCGCTGTTTTAAATGCATGTTTTACATTATGTTTGTTTATGGATGTACTATGTGTGAATGATATTCATGACGCCTGGTATAGTATGGATGAGTTGGACTGCGGTTGACTATTCGTACTGTACGGCGGGTTGTTGACGTGTCCGGCTAGGTCCGGGGCGTGACAAGGTTCATAAGCCGTCCTTGTGGTGGAGCTGATTTTTGGGGGCATCCATAGATTCGCCGTTGGTTCTCCGGGTCGCAGATTCGCGGCGGAGCATGGCCCTGCTGCGGCGTCGCCGTTGGTGATGGGACTGGTTCCAGATTTCAGCTGCTTCCCCGCTCGGCCGATTCAGGCAAGGTTCTTCCCTTTGGCTGTCACTGGTCTGGTTGACCGACGCTGTAGCGGTGTAGGTCGGAAGAGAACTCCAGATCTGGAAATTTCCAGATTTCATTTTTTTTAAACCGTTTTTTTGGATTTTTTTTTTTCCTGTTCTTGACATTTTCTGATATGTTTTTGACTGAATTCTTGTGTTTTGTATGAGTATTTGGAGATTTTTGGGAGGAATCTAACTTGATTTTGCTCTAATCTCTCAATGAAAACACCATTGATGGATTATTGGGATCCAAACATATAATTAAATGGAGAGATTGAGCTATGAAAGTGTGGAGAAGAAGATGAATAATAGAAAATGTGTAAGTTATGTCCTAGGGTTTACAAGCTCCCAAAGGAGTATATATAGAGAAATAATGGGTCGGGCCGCTAATATGGGTCCGATAGGCCCAACTACATAATAGACTAATCTAGCACATACAAATGATATAAATGACATCCGCTAAGCATGAGTGGACCGCTGTCCGGGCCCAATAGTCGTGAGACCCGGGGATCCGAGTCTATATACTACATCAAATAAAAATAAAAATAAGAAGACAAAAAGGGAGAATAAAAGAGTCAAGACGATTAAAATAAAAAGGAAAAATTTTAGGAAGGAAAAAGAAAATGACATGTGGGACCGTTTAGTGAAGATTTATGAAAGATGAGATTTATGGTTGAATAATTTGCAAAGAAAATGAAAAAAACCTGGAATAGCAGGTCATCAATCGGTTAATTACCAATGAATGAAGATGAGATACAAAAGTTGAATTATTCATTAATAACGATAAAGTGGGACTAACGAATGAAAATCGCTAAAAGGTTGGATTATTAATTTCTATTTTCCCAATAATTATTTAATTTTCAAATTTTTTTACATATGAAATAAACATTTTCTAAATGGGATCGTGATCAAGCTTTCTATAAGCTTTCTATCGGGATCGTGGCGGATCGAACCGAGCAGGTGATTTTCTTGATTGCTAACTAAGGTGATCTCCCACCTAGAGGGGGCAGAATATCATGTTAGGGGTCTTGGGTCAGGCTTATCCATGTACAATATTAAAAGGTCGAATTGGTTTGAGACAAAATTTGAGTGAAATAAACATTAGTTTAATAGTACAAGTATTTTTAAACATTAGTATATTTATTTATTTCATATGTAGTATATGGGCAAAAATAGGCCAAAAAAGAGTTAATCGGACAAAACTACCCTTAATAAAAATAATTCCTTTCTTCCGTCGCCTTTCCTACCTTCCACATTTTTATTCTTTTCTACGCAGAAAGCCACTGTCACGTCAGGAGCGTCGGCTAAGGGCAATACGAACGTCTCCAAGGACGTATGTCCCCAACAGGCTAGCAAGACCCAATTGCAAGACATACGTACGGAACCTTGGTCTTGGGAGCAGGCAGGACACATGAGGCAAGCTCATGGGGACGAATGTCCCCACCCCTTGACAGGAAGCCAAGATCCTGGCAGGACACAGGAGGCAAGCTAATGGCGACGAACGTCCCCACTCCTTGGCAGGAAGCCAAGATCCCGGCGGGAGACAAGAGGCAAGCTAATGAGGACGAACATCTCCACTCCTTAGCAGGAAGTCAAGATCCTGGCGAGAAACAGGAGGCAAGCTCATGGGGACGAACGTGCCAAAGATCCTAGGCAATTTCTGCAATTCCAAAGTATGAACCATGGATCTTTCTTCATAGGAGATGACATCTGCATCTGGCGTAGGTAGTCCGTTGCTGGTGTCGATGAGTTTAATTAAATGAAGAGTAAAATTGTAATCTGGAGTCCTATTCGGAGAATAACAAACTTTATCGTAATGCAATTAATATTACGAATATGTTTTAGTCCTATTTTGGACAATTTCTTTAGAGAGAAATATACTACATACTATCATCCGTATCTCATTAATTGCAACATTGGAATATATACACTATTCATGTACTTTACTTTGACTACATTTTTATTTATTAATGTATGTGAATTGTTTTTTTTGAAAAATGTTGTTAAATTCGTCTCATTACTAAGTTTTATAATCTATTTTTTATTTTATTTTTACTAATACAGAATTAAATATAATGACGGTCAAAGTTGTGCGTTGTCAAACGTGAAATGTTGACTGTTGCAACTAAAAAGAGATGAAGGAAGTATTATAAACTACATGTAATCAAGAAATGAATTACAAGTTATTTTTAAAATCGGGTAATACAATTAATATTACGAATTAACTTGTATCTGTATTTCAAAGTTTAGATGGTGAATCGAAAATAATTTGAGTGCTTTACATTATCAAATTTTCGAACGGTCTACTAACCGCTTGGTTCAGCCCCTGTTCCCACCTTCCCAATTCTGAGAAAAACAGGGAAACCGACAAGTTTATGACCTTCTCCATTTTCATTCCAAGCCTCTCTCAGTTTCCGGACCACATCTTCACCCAACAGCTCCACACCTTTGTCCTTGGCCGTTTGGTACGGCGACCACGACTTCAACATCGTCAAAAGCCCCTCCAGATCCATCTCTTTCTCCGCTCTGAATTCCAACGGCCCGGTGCCACCGCCGCCGCCGTCTACCGCCTGGAACGGAAAATCGATGGTCCTGTACTCTTCATCCAGCAGCCTTATGCGCTTCTCCATGTACGGCCCGAAATCCTGGTAGTAAAGTTTGTCGAAAAGAGCGTCAAAGGTCGCGTTGACTCGGGGTGACGTGTAGCACCAGGCGGCGATGACACCGTCGGGTTTCTTGAGGAGCCATTTGGCCTGGGCGAAGAAGGCCGGGAGGTCAAACCAGTGCATGGCTTGGGCCACCGTCACCAGGTCAAAGGTTGACTCTTTTCCGATGAGGGTTTGGAGCTGGTGCATGGTCATGTTCGGAGGGGTGCATTCGTACCTCACGTTGGGGAGCGCCGTCGCGTATTCCAGTTGCTTCTCGCTCGTATCCGTCGCCACTATGCTCTTGTAGATTCTTGCTAGCTATATATACATATGGAAAATCAAACCAATTCAATATTGAAATAATACCACGTAGTAAATTATTGTTCAAAATAAAAGTATAGAAATCGCTCTAAATAGGAGCAAAAACGTTTTGAAATTCCAAAATAGGAGTATCATGTTTTTTATTCCCTTAATAGAAGTAATCTTTCAAGTTTGGAAGAAAATGCCATGTTTTAAAGCCTACTAATGCCAAACTTGGTAGAAATTTACTCCTATTGAAGAAATAAAAAACATGATACTCCTATTTTGAATTTTCAAAACTTTTTTACTCCTATTTAGGGAATTCTCCCAAAAAAGTAATATATGAGCATATTGCAAGTAAAATTAGGTATACTTTATTTTCAAACTAAAAAGGGTTTCCCCAGTATGGATGCAAAGGATTTTAAAGGAGTTAGATTTTGTGCATTCTATTAAAATAATAATAGTATTCTCAAACATTATTACTGGACTTTTGTATTACTTATTTGATGAATTTAATTGATTTTGGTGGATTTCTATAAAACATTTTGCCACAAATTTCATAGACACTCCTTGGATTTCAAAATGCATAATCTTTTAAAATTCATGAAAGTCATAGTTGATGACAGCCCTAAAAGACTCATTCAGTCATAATAAAAGAATGAACAATTCAAACTCCCTACAATACGTTTCACAAAGAAAAGAATATAGTAATACGGAATATGTGATTTTTCTCATTTTACTAGTGACCCGGTCAAACATAAAACTATACATTTATGCACTTAAAATTAAACTACTTAAGTTTTAGAAAGTAACTTTCATTCAACACAAAGTACTTTCCTTACTAATTAAATTATACCAAAGGAGAACGTAACACTCTCACCGGGTAAGAGTATAGTAAGCTAGACCATTTACAATATAGTCCATATATACCACCAAAAGACTTGATTAGGAACAAGATAAGTGTATGTGTTGGTAATGAAGATGGTTAATACTTTAAGTGCTGTTCATACAATTATTCAAATCAAAAACTTAACAAAAAAATAATACTCTCCGTCTCACAAAACTTGATCAATTTGTCTTTTCTCGGTCAATGATAATATAATAAAGTACTATCCTCCGTTCCATAAAAGTTGAAACAGTTTGATTTTCACATTTGCCAACACGCAACTTTGACTGTAATTATATTTATTTACGTATTAGTAAACATTAAAAAAAATTAATATATTGGAAACTTACATTAATACAAATTTATTAATATTTTACACACAATATTTTTATTGTATATATTATTAGAAAATCGTAGTCAAAGTAAGGTGTGTGAATAGTGCAGAAATTTTAATGTTGCAACTTTTATAGAACAGAGGAAGTATATACAATGATTTCAGTTATTATATTTGTGAGAAACTTACAACTTTTACGCTTTTAGAAAAGTACATTTAGCAAAGAAAATTTTCACATAATTTACATATTTAAATTATTTTCATATTAAAAAGTATCATTAACTCAACCTTGATAATAATTGAGCAAGTAAAGTCAACATGATAAAGTTTTATGGGACACAAAGAGTAGTTAATTGTAAACAATAATTATAAGTAGTAGGCAGAATAATAGTAATACTAATATGACCTACTAAAATAATAATAGTAATAGTGATGTTATTAGTTAGAGTGATAATAATATTATTTTGTTTTTGGCATTTTACCAAACATCTATTGCAACTAGTCAATTAGTCAAATCAGGTAAAAATACTGTCCTAAAAGCTAATTTACCAAACAAAGTTTTTTTCATGGAGTCAATTTCCTTGGCTCTGTTTACTCTCTTTATATCTTTTTTCGATCTCTCCTTAAAAAAGTAATTAAACCCCATCTTTTTCACGATGCATATTCTGAATAAAACTTATGGAGTATTTTAATAATTAAATACAGTACTATAGGTAAACCCCGTCTCATTATTCCCAAATGAATGCATTTACTTATTTATTTATAAAATAATATGAAGACAGCGCATTCAATACATGCAATGACAATAAGAACACATGCTTCAATTCGTACAAACCTGTAAACAAGGTTACGTCTTCTTAATGAGAAAAATACGTACGTCCTTGAATTGGGAAATGACTGTAATGGGTGGTTTGAAGTAGGGCTGTTAACGAAACGAGTTCTTATCGAACTATTCGAGTTCGAGCTCGGGTGTTCGGGCTCGGCTCGACTCGTTAACAGCACTAGTTTGAAGTCTAGGTAATCTAATGTTTTCTTAATCTAGTTTAATTTTTTTTTCATTTTCCTGTCTAACTGTCATTATCGTATAATTTCTCTTCAAATTAAATCCAAAATTTTGAATCTGCTGATTTACTAATTTGGATGATTGATCGAAATAGGGCAATGAAGAATTGAACGGAAGTTGGAAAGAATTTGGTAAAGAAAAAAAGATGAGATGAGAAAGACGCGCGTACTGATTTGGCTGCTTGGCCGCTACCAGTGCCGACATCCCAAGCCAGATCACGGCTGGGAGTTTTTGAGGCAATGAAATGGAAAAGCTCTTCCGGATATGTCGGCCTCCCTTCTGCATATTGCTTTGCCTGCTTCACGAACAGCTCTGCCATTCTCCCTACCTATTTGATTGTTAATTGCTCCATTTCTTTTTACTACGGTACATTTTATATTAGGATGAAGCTGTACACTTATAACTTATTATAAGTAATAATAAGCTGTACATTTTAATGGAGGGCTCTGTTTTGAATAACCTATTGAATTTGACTATTTTGAAGATATAGTTTTTGCACATGGGTGGGGCCTTGAATTTGACATTATACACTCCCTTTATGCTTTGTTTGATTCTAAGGTAAAATTGTAAATAAAAGAGGACAATATATAATACTAGTAATGAAATAAGAGGAGACACCGCGTGTGATTTCCTTGTTCATAAATTCAACCAAAAGAGAGAAAAGAATAGGACCAAATGGGGTGTTTGTGAACTTTCCCATTATTGAGAGGAGAGATTGATGGAAAGATATATTTTTATAATGTCAAATCTATAGCATTGTTGAGGTATCATCTAGATAGATTAATCAATTAGAATTTTATAATATCAGATTGATGGATAGTGTACCCGGGGTAGCTTATCCGAGGTGTTATTGCGGGGAATAACTAGAGAGAAGTCAGAGCAAGTAAGTAAGAGAGAGTGTATATCAGATATGTATTCAACATATTTTGCTTCTGGCTTACAAATGGGGAAATATGGTGCTATTTATAGTAGTAATAAATGCCAGATAGGGACACGTGTCAAGCATCCATTGGCCGAGGGGTCACCTCAACTGGTTGGCGCTGGCAATCGCATGTGGCCGCATTTAATGCGGCTGTTGGATGCGACGTCGTACTTGGTACGGTGATTTCGGTGCATGTGGAGTGAATATTATGTCGAGGAAGGTGCCCTCGGCTGCAGGTGATTAGCCGAGGGCTCTGAGTACCGGGGACCCCCTTAGTGCCGAAGGCTCTAGGTGCCGAAGGCTACTGAATTTCGCCGTTTTCTCCCAGTAACTTTGTGTGTTTGAGTTGGCCGTCCTGTGAGAATTTGGAGCCTTCGGCCAGGGGGGCGAAGGCACTCCCAGTGTGCTGCGTGGGTTGCTCAGTACTTGGGGCACTGTATTTAGGGCCTGATGTGCCCTCTGGGCCTATTGAGCTTTTATCAGAATAGTAGGAGTCTATGGGCCGGGGGTTCCTAGGCCATATACTCCATCACAGATTTTGTAATTAGACTTTCACAATTCAATAATTTAAATATAAATAAATAATGAATTATACTTTCCACCCATTTCTAACCCAAATATTCCGCTAAAGTAAGGATGATTTGTCAAAATGTCCTAACAAAGTTTAGTATTTGTCAAAATACTCTTTTAAGGTTAGATATTGTTAGACTATCCGTCTGCGTCACATTTGTGTTGTACTTACCATTACTCCCGCCAGTTCATAACGACTTCCTCCTTTCTAGCCGTTACATTATAAAGACCTAATTCCAATGGCTCAATCTTCAATTCACAACGTTAACATTTATTTCAGATTCTCATTTCTTTCCCTTTCATTTATTACACATTTATTTTAGATTTTACATGGTCTTCAGCCTCTGCATCATCTATATTCAGATCAAAGCAGTACCAAAAGCTTCACTCAGGGAAGAGTTTATACATTCTCGTCATCCTGCAAGAAAAGATTAACGACATATATTAACGCTCGTATAAAGCTACATCTGCATCCTCTTCAAGTTTTCTTGCTTTTCTGGTGCGTAAAATCATAAAACGTATCATATGCGTATCTTAACTATGTGTTGACCTACCATATTGACATGATTTGTTTAGGCTTCATTTAAAAAATACAGCTTTGTTTCATTTAACTGCTATTTATGAGAGTCCTATCTCAAGAAAAGAAGCTCGTTTTCATGTGCCAAAATAGAGTTAGAAGAAACTAAAAAATATTAATTTAGTTTAAATTATCACTTGTAATTGTTTAGCCTCTCCTTGTTGTTCCCTCATTGTTTTGTACTTCCATTTGATTTATTTAATATTGATCTATAGTCTATATATACTCAATGTTCATGCTCAACTTCTAATTGATTATACATCCACACAACATGTATATTCGTTAATCTGATGAGAGTCCTATCTCAAGAAAGGTCATGGTGGTCGATTCTCCAATTGAAGAAGTATTTTTGTGATTGATAAAATACTACAACTTGGTAGAGGAAAAGTTTGCAAATGGCAGAAGATATTGTGATCTTATGTGTTTATCATGAGAAACTTGTGCATGTTGTATTTATTTACTTTGTTTCTTTTTGTTGCATGTTGTTTCTTTTTGTTGTATGTTGTCGCATTTTGTTGTATTTTGTTGCTATTTGTTGTAAATTGTTGCATTTTTTTGTCTTGTGTTTCTTTTCAATTTTTCCATTTATTTTTTCTACTAAGCATAATCTAATAATACATACTTAAAATAATACATTCGGATTTATGAGTATTAACAACAAGAAACATGAAGAAACAATATAAAACAAAACTTCCAAAATTACCAACAAAAAGAAACACAAAGTAATCATATGCAACAAAAACTAATAATAAAGTGATAGCAATAATAATTAATTTTTTAACTAATTTTGAAAAAATCAAATCGAAAATCTCTTTTCTAATTTTTTAAATTTTATAAAATTTTATATTTTATATTTCCATTTCATCTTTTCACATTTTTATTTTGTATTTTTTATAATTTGCACGCTTTTTTGTTTACTTTTGTTTTCTGACTTTTTAAGATTTTGAAGAGTATTATTTTCTATTGTTTTCCTTTTTTTTTTAATTTTTACGTTTTAATTTTTTTTTTTACATTTTTTCACGCATTTTTTATATTTTACATGATTTCTTATTTAATATATTTTTCTGGTTAAAAAAATATTGTGTATGGCATTTTATAAACTTTAATATGACTTTATTGAACTATTTCAAATTGAAATTTATTATTTTTTAAAATTTACATTGTGTACATTCCGTTTTTTAAAAAAATTATATCTTTGATAAAAATTTCCTATCGCTTTCATATTTTTAATAGTTCAAAATAATTTTTATATCATATCTCTTATTTGGTCTATAATTTTCAGGTATGTTTCAATATTTTACTACTTTTATTTTTTTAGTCGCAAAAATATTTTTTTTTTATTATAGAATTTGTATTTTTTTAATATTTATGAAATTTTTATATAAATTATTTTAGAAAATTCATTACAAAAAACAATTTTTTCTTTTTTTCAGTTTTTCTCACATTTAAAAAAATTAAAACTTTCCGTGCGAGTTTTGTATTTCTAAAGTTTCTTAACGTTTTTTACACTTTCATGATGTTATTTTAAAATTCAGTTTTTTTTTTTTAAATTTAAGTCACAAAGTTTTCAATTTTGATTGTTGAATGCATTTTGTTGGACACGTATATGCAAAGGAGTGACTGCTTGATAAACACACGCTCATGTGGATTAGATTTAAAGCAGGAGGCTATTTTTGAAAAGAAAAGTGTGACTAGTCTATTTTTGAAAGAAATATTGAAAAGTGATAATGGTGATATTACTTGAAATAATTACATAAATATGACCAAAATAAAGATGATTTACAAAAATATGACTTATGACTAGAGTAGTCACAAAATCATAGTAATTCATGTTCAAGTTTTGATCTTAAATTACCACAACACCACATTGTAGAAATGAATAGTCATATTTATGTAAATATGTTTTATTTTAGTAATATTCTTGTAAAAAACTCTTATTACTTTCCTATATAAGCATATTTGTGAAAATCTCCCTTCTTTTTTACCAACGAGTAAATCACCCGTGCAATGCACGGTCGGAGAATTTCTATCCCATTTTTCTTGCTTTGATAATGTTTTCTAAACTGTTGGCAGAACAGATTCATTTACAACAATACAAAAGTATTTGTGATAATTTAAAGAGTACACGTATAATTCAGCATTAGTAAATATAAAACACAGAAATATCATATAAAAGTACACCAAAATAATTATGCAATGAACTACAAGCATTGATTAATAACGGAACAGAATGCAACGCTACACGTTACTAAAAACTTCCTTATAAACAACATTTTGAGTTGCATTTGTGGTCTTGCCGCTGTCATCACATATAAGAATTCTCAAACCACGCCTATTGGTCACTCTTGAAACAGCAACATAGAGCTGTCCATGCGTGAACACCGGTTTCCTTAACAACAAACCCACACGGGACAAGGACTGACCCTGACTTTTATTAATAGTCATAGCATAAGAAATCATAATGGGGTATTGTCGCCTCTGAAATTTGAAAGGCAAGTTTGCATCAGAGGGAGTCAAGGACAACCGAGGAATCAACACTCTCTGTCTAGCATTGACACCAGTTAAAATTTTACCCTCCAAAACATGATCGCAAAGTTTGGTGAGAATTAGCCGAGTACCATTACACAAACCCATGGAATGATCAATATTTCTTAGAAGCATGACTGGGGTGACACAAATTTTAATGTCAACTTGTGATTCGGCACACCAAACAACTTAATGCTATTTAGGAATTCAGGGGTGTGCAGTTCTGCCATTAGATCAGTTGTAGAATCTACCTTTGACACACTGTCAGAGCTAAGGTATGTCCTTGAAACCTCGCCGACGTTGAGACCCATCATATAATCATTAACGAATTCTACAACAGACAGGGTAGGGGCTAATATTGCGCGGTCACGTAGACAATTCAGGTCATTTGCAGATGCAACATACTCCGGAAAAATGCTTTTCACAATAGCAGCAACATGATCGCCATCAGTGTGAATCAATAAATCATCAGGAATATCAACAGACCCAAAGCCATCATTTTCTTCCCCCAACACACCATCACCTATACTGGCAATCCACTCTGAAAAAAGCTTTAAATCATAAGAATCTGCCTCATTTGACATATTCTGTAGACGCATATTTTTGGTCAATCGAAGGACGGTGCAATCTGACCATAAATACGACGAATTGATGGTGGAGCTAACATCATCTTGTCTGCTGCCGTTTGGTATCACAGGGAGAACCTGGCGAAAGTCACCTCCAAATAACACGGTTTTTCCACCGAAAGGCATTGTGCCGCTATTTTGTTTGTGGAATTGCATAATATCTCTCATGCTA